TGGACGAAACACATTTCTGCTTTGTTCGTTTTTTTTTGGTTCTTTCTCGATGATTTTTTGTTGTTGCGTTTTTTTTACATTGGTTGTTTTTTTGCTAATATAGTAATCCCATGCAGGGGCTGAGTGGGGGGCTGAGTGGGGGGTTGGGGGGCTGAGTGGAGAGTTGGGGGGGGCTGAGTGGGGAGTTGGAGGGCCTAGTGGGGGGTTGGGGGACTGAGTGGGGGTTTTGGGGGGACTGAGTGGGGGTTTGGGGGGGCTGAGTGTGTGGTTGGGGGGGCTGAGTGGGGGTTGGGGGGGCTGAGTGTGTGGTTGGGGGGGCTGAGTGGGGGTTGGGGGGGCTGAGTGTGTGGTTGGGGGGGCTGAGTGGGGGTTGGGGGGGCTGAGTGTGTGGTTGGGGGGGCTGAGTGGGGGTTGGGGGGGCTGAGTGTGTGGTTGGGGGGGCTGAGTGGGGGTTGGGGGGGCTGAGTGTGTGGTTGGGGGGGCTGAGTGGGGGTTGGGGGGGCTGAGTGTGTGGTTGGGGGGGCTGAGTGGGGGTTGGGGGGGCTGAGTGTGTGGTTGGGGGGGCTGAGTGTGTGGTTGGGGGGGCTGAGTGGGGGGTTGGAGGGCCTAGTGGGGGGTTGGGGGACTGAGTGGGGGTTTGGGGGGACTGAGTGGGGGTTTGGGGGGGCTGAGTGTGTGGTTGGGGGGGCTGAGTGGGGGTTGGGGGGGCTGAGTGTGTGGTTGGGGGGGCTGAGTGGGGGTTGGGGGGGCTGAGTGGGGGTTGGGGGTTTCTCAGGGCACCAAAGTTTTGTTCCCACGTGAAGCCAAACTCGCAATCAAGAGAAGTGGCCAAGCGTCCCACTGCTGCAGGACCCTCCTAAAAAGCTGTCCTGAGACTCGGCGAGGCTTTCATGGGAAGTAATTTGCCTTCTTCTTACTACGATTGTCACCAACAGAAAATAATAATTTGGCGTCATCGCGACGGCGGCTGGAGGCAGCTTCTAAGCCCCTTGATCTCCGCGCCAAGGGATCTGGATCAAGCATGTTGAGTGTGTGTCATTAAGAATTGCTCTGCGCGTGTCATTAGCACCTCCGATTAACACGGTTGGCTCAGTACGGTGCGAAAGAAGTTCGACATACATACGTACAGACACAGACGTACAGACACTCGGCACCCTGGGCACCCTTGCGGATCTCAAGGGAGAAATACTTGAATCGATAAAACAAATGTAGAATAAAAATGAATTTCTAGACCGCAGCAGAAGTATCAACACTTTTCACATCCCTCCGCTGCTCTCTAGTGGCAGCGCTGTTCAGGGCAGATATAAACATTCACAGGGAATAGGAGGTTTCAAGACGCCTTGATAGAGAACGTGCCAAATGTACGGCGGTATAACATCTTAAGTGTAAATTACGCGACAAAATAAGGATGGATTACGTGTAATGTTGAGTTATGTGGTGTTGTGTAATGCAGTGTTATGTAACGTTCGATTTGTTCATTAAAAAAAAACAGTTGTGACCGGATTCACGAGCGTGCAGTATTGGGTGAATCTACCTTAGCCTGAGGCTGCGCTGAAGCTTGTTGTATCATGAACCAATTTTGACATGGCCTTTTGTTTTTTTATTTTAAATGTACGGTGTGGGTGCTTTTGGTGCATTGTCGATGGTTTAAAATATTTTTTTCTGCACCGTTTTGCATGCAACGTTTTCTTGCAATGGGGGCAACCTCGATTCCATTTTAGTTTTACCATTTGAGGCTATTAACAAAAAAATACATTTTCGCCTAGATATCAGTGAAACGTCGATTGTTTTAGAAATTGATGTAAACATAGTGTAAGAAAAGAAGAGGGCGTTGCCGTGAGTAAATTACCAACGTGCATCGGGAACCAGTTGATGGGCACCAACTCAAAACGTAAAACTCTCGACTCACTTTTTGTTACCAGACGCGGGGGAACATTTTGATTGACAAAAATAAAATCCCCTGGTGAAATAACCGCCGTGTTTTTTTGTTGGTCCGAGCAGGGGCCCACCGTTAGAAGGGGGGGGGGGGGGCCGCGCGAGCGCCTCACCGCCTCGAGCGCCTCAACGCCGCGAGCGTCGAGACGCCACGGAAAGGCGTCACTAGATCCCGCCGCCGCTCCCTTGAAGATTGGAGGTGTGCGCTCCCACGGTCATGATGACATGGTCATCATCGATTTAAAGCTTTCGTGACTGCAATGATTCATCTTCTTTGGTTCTTTCGGTAAAGTCACGTAGAATTTATTTTATCAATTTATTATTTTATTCTCATTCTACGTGACTTTACCGAAAGAACCAAAGAAGATTGTCATCATCGTCGGCGGCGGTGGCGGCAATGCCCGCGATTACAGGGCAATGAGAGAACGTGCGGAGCGCTTCGCACGTCCTCCTGCCGACCCGCCGAGACGGGGTGGAGGGGGGGGGGAGCTGCACGTTGCCCGGTTGTCAACCTCGGGGTGGTGGAAATGTCCCATGGAGGCCCCGAAATATATAGCGCAATACAAGCGGAAATCTGACATTCGTGTCCCCTACAGAGGTAAATTAAATTGAACCTCACTCTCAGCGTGGACGTGCGGCTGTAAAGCTCGTGCGTCGAGCACTTGCGCGAAAAGGAGCAGCTGCTCTTGTGAGTTATGGCCACCCCCCCCCCGTCTTTGTGCGTGTCAGCAGAATACGGCAATCAGGCCGATCTCTCATTTTATACCGAGCCTACAACGAGTCAAAGTGATTTCATGCACAAACGAACATTCACACAGCGTGCTCATCTCTGCTCCTAGCCCCTGAGCCAGTGGTGGTAATTCCCCATTCCTACAGCAGGGGAGAGTCTGCCCCACAAAGTGGTCCCTGTTTTATCGACCCCGGAGGGATGGTGGGTTGAATCAATCCCCAAACCCTAGGTTATACCATAGGCTGAGCTATACCAATTGGTTGACAGAAACTACAAGGTACGTTCGTGTCCCTGGTACCCAGCACAAATCAGTTTCCTCCCCCCTTACAGTTAAAATGGAAGACTTTTTGCACGAGTCATCATCGCGAACAGCCGCGGTCAATCTACTGGCGGTGTAAAGGCCTCCGCAAGCCGCCGTCGCCTCTCACAATGTCACAAAGTGACGGTCCACCCACAGCTCCCTGCACAAAACAGATCGAATCTGTATCATTAGACCTCCGTTGCCAGTACCAAAATATAATAATAGGGTTTTTCCCCTTTTTTCTGGCAACAAAACTGAAACCTTTTTACGAGGATTCATGTCTGCATTAACCACAATACCTGCAGTCAAAATGCAAACCGTCCCTTGGTGTGGACCAATCAGTTTCAAGGACAATGCATATATTATCATAGTATGTTTTTTTTTGCATTTTGACTGCAGGTATTGTGGTTAATGCAGACATGAATCCTCGTAAAAAGGTTTCAGTTTTCATCTTCTTTGGTTCTTTTGGTAAAGTCACGTAGAATGAGTATAAAATAATAAATTGATAAAATAAAATAACATAATAAAATTCTCACGACGTTTCGGCCACAACACAAGTGGCCTTCTTCAGGTGAAAGGAACAGACTTGTCGGGACGACAGAGTTGCTCTCTCTCTGGCCAGAGCTCTGTCGTCCCGACAGGTCTGTTCCTTTCACCTGAAGAAGGCAACTTGTGTTGTGGCCGAAACGTCGTGAGAATTTTATTATGTTATTTTATTTTTCGATTTAAAGCTTTCGTGACTGCAAGGATTCATCTTCTTTGGTTCTTTCGGTAAAGTCACGTAGAATGAGAATAAAATAAATCTCCAGCGCTGTCCTCCAGACAGTCTCGTCTCTTCACCTGATGAAGGCTGCTTGTGTTGTGGCCGAAACGTCGTGAGAATATTATTGTGTTATTTTATTTTATCAATTTATTATTTTATTCTTATTTTATTTTATCAATTTATTATTGTATTCTCATTCTACGTGACTTTACCGAAAGAACCAAAGAAGGTGAATCCTTGCAGTCACGAAAGCTTGAAATCGAAAAACCCTATCGAATTTGTTTCGGGCCGTCCGAATGGAACAGCCGCACGAGAGATCACCCGGAGAAAGTAGGGTGTCACGCGAGTGCTCTACGACGAGTCCCACTTTTATTGCAGAGAAGTCGACAGCACTTGTCCTCTGCAGAGATCGGCCACCGTCGTTTTTGAATCCAAGGCCACGCCGGCTCGTGGGCACCGGTGGAGCCTTGCCGCATTGTTCGCTTGAGCCGGGGGGGCCGGGGGGACGCAGCGGGTTTGCCGTTACTGAGAACTCGGCGGCTGGCTCAGCGGTAGCACGGCCAGCGACCGTCCCGGCCGCATTGGTCATTGGCTGTGCCGCACGTGTTGCGTTTGTAAATGTTTCCAAGTGGAACGAGTTATGACGCCGGAGCCGGACGTGCAATTGTGTTACGCTCGCGATGATCCCGAGAATCCGTCGTTTCCCCGTTCGTTTCTCGTCGCAATTGATTCCCACGACTTCCGCAGCCTCCTGCCAGAGACGCTGCATTTTTACTACGGGGATGAGGCAAGAATGGATCCTCGAATAAAACTACCGCCGGCGCCGCCACTGCCACCAGTTGCCGCGATTGATCTAGCGATGTGCGTGAAAAAATCGCTTCGTGAATTTTGAGCGTGTCAAAGACAATCGACTCTTAACAAGTAGGTTGTTGCAGCCAATATTAAGATTTATCATTTTATTCCGATTTTTTTCTCAAGAGACTTGGCGCAGTTCAGAGTGAAACGGCGCATATCCAATTGCTTAATTTGTTGGTGAGAGTTGTGAATTAACTTGCCGGTGAGCTGAAACAAAAACATTGAAATGTTTTGCACGTGAAATGTTTTGTACGTTAAATGTTTGTAACACTGCATGAAAATTTAATTCGCTTGGCTGTGCCAAGTGGTGGGAGGGTCCTTCAACACAAAATATGGCCAGATCATCACGTGGCCTAACCCAGGAATGAACAGCGGATTGTAATTGCATCTCTTGATTGTGGCGCGTGGGTTTTCAGGTTGACTCGCGTTCTGCACGGAGGTCGTTGCTGCCTCGCGCTGATGGATCGGTCGAACGGCGCCAATCAATAGAAGAAAAATCAAGGCGTCAGGCGGATGAAACTACACCCCACCTACACCCCACCGGAGACGATTTGATAAAGACCCCCACCTTTGTGGGCATGATATTGGCATCATCGTTCGTATCTGGATCAGCGTGAGCCCCCCGCTTCAGCCCCCCCCCCCCCCCCCGCGTGAGCCCCCCCCCCCCGCGTTCCCATTGCAAGCGGCGGCGTCGCCGCCATCTGTCGCACAGCGGCAGGCAGGATGCGCGCGTGGCCCCCGTCGTGGCGATGGATCATGCTGATCCTGTTGGCGTGGGGCTCCCTGCTCGTCTACATGGGCGGCCACCTCATCCGAGACCCCGAGATGGGCGAGCACTCGAGCCGAGAACTTTCCAAGATCATGGCCAAGCTGGAACGGCTCAAGCAGCAGAATGACGATCTGCGGCAGATGGCCGAAGCCCTGCGGTGAGCGACCTCCCCCACTCCCCCAAACCTCCTCTCCCATCGCGCGTTGCTCGGCGGTTGCTCGCATGCACGCAGGGGAACCACGCGGGCTCAATCCTGCTTAGCTTGCGGGGCTGGGCGAGAGAGAGCAACTCATCCACAAATTAAAAAAAACGATGCTTTGGAGGCATAACAACCAACTTCAATTGTACACTTTAAATGCACAGTCTGCATGGCAAAAAGTTCCAGGAGTCGAAACTTTCCGTAAACATGCGGCCCCCAGGTTTACCCATCCAGGCGTTGAACAGAGCCCACGTGCCGTGCGGATGGCAGTCAATCGCAAGTCTTGAGTGCGGTGCAAAGATTGTGCCAGTGTCATGAGACCGCAACCACACTCACGTCGCTGACAGCATCATCGTCCGTCCTTTCTCGTTACCGGTCACCTCTCAGTCTTCGCTTCCACCACCTACTACCCTGTAAATCGCGGCGATTCACGTCGTTTCGATATTCGTCATCGCACCTTTCGGCGTAAACCGGGGGGTATTACTGTACTTAGATATGTACGAATGTTGAACTTCTTTCGCATTGTACGTAGCCGGCCGTGCTCATTGGAGGTGCGGGAATAAAATACGACCACGGCAGGATTCGGACCTGCAATCCTCCAATCCGAAGTCAAAGACGCCTTCTCCATTAGGCCACGTGGCCGCAGTCGAAAGTTTTTATATCATTGCTTTGGTAACTTTAGTGACGCAGTTCACTCGTGCAAACGTGACCGTCCTTGCTTCTTGAGGTTCCCGCCTGGTTCTGCAGACTTGTTGATGAACGCAATTCCGGGCACGGTGCGCGACGCGTGTCCTCTGCCGTGCCATGCGTGCAGGGTCTCCGAGCAGCAGGGAGAGCCGGTTGTGCCGTCCAGTCCCCAGAGAGTCAAGGGCCTCGAGGAGCGCCTTGCACAAGCCCAGATGGAGCTCAGCTTCTACAAAGAGAAATACCAGCAAGGTAACGGCCCCATCTAACAAGCAGATTAATCTTATCCTGACGGAAATTGTATAACGCCTTAACCAACGCGAATTTACAAAGAATTAACGACGGTACGACGCTTGTGAACGTAACGGTGGAGTTGCGGTGAATGAAATAGATGAGAGGAAGCAATGGGCAAATCGGTGATGCATGAATTCTGTGAAAGCGAAATTGATGACCGTAAATTATGATGAATGGATTCAATGAATGGGGAATAAGTGATAGCCACGGGGTGGTGGTGGTTATGAGGGGGAGATTAAGGGGGGGGGGGGACGTGGGGGTGAGCTTGGGAACAAGAAGTGAGTTTTGGGTGAGGAGCGGAGACTCGTGAGCGAAGGTGACCGCTTAATGTGGAGGGGGAAGTTTGTTCCAGTGAAGGGGGTGGGCGAGAAGAGAGAGAGCGACAGGGTGGATTGAGCACAAGGAGGAGGAGGGATAAATAAACAAACCACACACCCTCCGCATGGATAAATAAACAAACCACACACCCTCCGCATGGATGAGAAGTTTTTTTATTTTTACTACACATCCATTCAGCCGACACGGCCCCTCTTGGCGGAGTGCGAGTAATAGAATTAAATATTACGCGAAATATCTGTCGTCTTTCGTGTGTCACTCTGTGCAGACATCAAGGGGCGGCAATAGCAGCGAATGCGTATATGATGAAAATATTGTGAAGAGGTTGGAGACTATAACGTGGTCTTCTTGAGTTTTTATGCATTTTTTTCCTACCCATACTCTTTGGTTCTATTGGGTAAAGTCGTTGTAGTCAATGTCAGTCAATGTCATACAAAAAAAAAGATACAGCTCGACGCTAATTGTTCAATACTAGGACACATGTTTAGTAAAACTTAATTGGCGCAAGAACTATTACAGTTCTTGTTACAAGCGCATTAAGGGCTCATTACTACGTTCCCCGCCGGCGTATGACGCATCGCGTTTGCGTATCGAACGAGCGAGCGCAAATTTGAGTTTAGGCACTGCCGTTATATGGAAGGATTACTACAGTAAATAATGTAGAGACCAATGGCGTCTGAAGTAAAATGATTCTCCCTCGTCATATAACATAGCCCAGCTATGCATATTTGGCACGTGTAATGTAGAGTTTGGTGGGTTTCTCTGTGTAAGAAGTGTGCAGGACCACTGATGAATTGTCACCAATATTACAGTTCTGTAGCTCCACCCCATGTCCTGTAGCTCCACCCCCTGTCCTGTAGATCCACCCCTGTCCTGTAGTTCCACCCCCTGCCCTGTAGCTCCACCCCCTGTCCTGTAGCTCTACCCCCTGCCCTGTAGCTCTACCCCCTGCCCTGTAGCTCTACCCCCTGCCCTGTAGCTCCACCCCCTGTCCTGTACCTCCACCCCCTGTCCTGTACCTCCACCCCCTGTCCTGTAGATCCACCCCTGCCCTGTAGCTCTACCCCTTGCCCTGTAGCTCCACCCCCTGCCCTGTAGCTCCACCCCCCTGTCCTGTAGCTCTACCCCCTGCCCTGTAGCTCTACCCCCTGCCCTGTAGCTCTACCCCCTGCCCTGTAGCTCTACCCCCTGCCCTGTAGCTCCACCCCCTGTCCTGTACCTCCACCCCCTGTCCTGCAGATCCACCCCTGTCCTGTAGCTCCACCCCCTGCCCTGTAGCTCCACCCCCTGCCCTGTAGCTCCACCCCCTGCCCTGTAGCTCTACCCCCTGCCCTGTAGCTCCACCCCATGTCCTGTAGCTCCACCCCCCTGTCCTGTAGCTCCACCCCTGTCCTTTATCTCCACACCCTGTCCTGTAGCTCCACCCCCTGTCCCATAGCTCCATCCCCTGGCCCGTAGCTCCACCCCCTGTCCCGCAGCTCCACCCCCTGTCTTCTAGCTCCACCCTGTCTTCTAGCTCCACCCCCTGTCCTGTAGCTCCACCCCCTGTCCTGTAGCTCCACCCCCTGTCTTCGAGCTCCACTCTCTACTGTGTAGCTCCGCCCCACTGGGAAACCCGAGACAGTTGATATAAAAAGCCCCAATACCACATACAGAGAAGCGCTTCACCGTGAACTTCCCTATCGACTTTGGGAAATGAAAGCATAGAGTCAAAACAAGTGCAGCTGGCAGCACGAATCTTAATGCCGCAGATGCGGCCGCTGGCTAAATAGTTTATAAAGACTCGCTTTCCCTTCTCGATGATATTTACGTACGCTTTGTTCGTTGGCAGAAAATGCAAAGCAGGCGTCGGAAGTCGGCCCCGCCGTGAGCGCCGCGGCCGCGGCCGCGAGGATCCCCGCCGGCCCTGGGACGGACCACGAGCTGCTGCGGAGGAAGATTGAGAACGGCATCAAGGAATTCTGGTTCTTCGTGCGTAGCGAGCTGAAGAAGATGCAGCACGACGCCGGCGATCACTCCAAGGAGAAGATAACCATGATGCTGCAGGACATGGGTCATCAACAGAGGTCCCTAACCCCCCCACAGCTGCCACTTCCCAAAGTCGTCACGCTGCATTCGCTGAAAGTTGCTCGACTTAACTGAAAATAATCAAAATATTTATATTATTTATTATTATACTGCTCGTTTAGCCGTGAAATTCTCACTGAGTCTCAAGACTCTTTTTCAGGAGGGTCCTGCCAATTTTTCGCATTAAAGCGGCGATGTTGCTACAGCTGTGTTTAGCCAATGCCAGTTTACATTGTGTGATCTTAGCTATGGGAAGAAAGCGTAGAGGATTACAATGCAGAACACGAGGAGAATATTTAAACTCCACACATTAAGGCGCGCGAGTCAGGAATTGAACCCAGGGCCTTGTTGTTGTGAGGCACGAGGGTTACCCGCTTTGCCACCCACCCCAACCACCCACCCCAACCACCCACCCCAACCACCCACCCCAACCACCCACCCCAACCACCCACATAAAGAAGCAGGAATCTAAACAACCCTCGTGCACTATCCGTTGTTCTCACTAAGTGCGTGCCCGTCGGTGCTTGTGCGCCCAGGTCGATCATGACGGACCTGTTGAAGCTGAGCGAGGCGGACGGGGCGGCCGAGTGGAGGGCCCGGGAGGCCAAGGACCTCTCCGACCTGGTGCAGCAGAGGTTCCACTTCCTGCAGGCGGGTGCAGACGCGCGTCGCACTCACAGCGCCAGCCCGTCCGCCATCGGGTCACCTCTGACATGGCTTTTACAATCCGCACCTCTGATTAGCACGGTTGGCTACGTACAGCGCGAAATAAGTTCTAACATACGTACGTACATAAGCCATCCGTTCTCAGCTTTCACTGGGCTTCATCATCATTGTCGTCGTTGTCAGCTATGATCAATCCCGTGATAGATTAAGACCTTCGCAAGCCGCGACCTTCTCATGTAACAATCCATCCAGCGACAGACCACAGGTTGGGAACCACTGCACCTGAGGAGTTAGGGTTCACATATAGACCCTGGCTACACTGTCTATTAAGTTTGAAGTGGACATCACGCCCGGTGGTTTGAGCAGCATCCAAGGAATTGGTTTGTGCTGTTTACTTGGTGACAATTCACGTTTTTTAATATCCTAAGAGTCATTTAGTCATGTTCAGAGACCCAAGATCAAACTATATCTGGTTCTCCAGTATTACGAGGAAGAAGATATTCAAATAGTATTTGCAGAGACTTGGAACTCAAATCTGTAAATTTATGAGAAAACTCATCGCAAATAGAAGACGTAGCGCAGGCCCAGACAACAGATTTAATAACGCGCAGAGATGCATTACATTTAAATAACCACTCGGCCTGATGCAGACCACTAGCTTAAAAGAACTGCATGTGTGGTGGTGGCACATGCAGTTGGGAAGGTGGTGACGCACACGCCTGTGCTCCAGCACCATGGAGGCAGCTAGGGTATCACTCCGCGTATTGTATCACTGTACCGCTCAGTTGTGCAGCTTAAGAAACGAGGTCATCATCGACCGCTCGAAAACCGCATTATAACGGTGCACTTTCGACGCTACAACGGTGCACTTTAAACGCGATAATGGTGCACTTTAAACGCTATAACGGTGCACTTACGACACTATAATGGTGCACTTTCGACGTTAGAACGGTGCACTTCCAACGCTATAACGGTGCACTTTCGACACTATAGCAGTGCGCGTTCGAATGGAAGAACCGCGCTTTAGTGAAAATGCATTGTTGCGTGAACACCGTGCGTGAAGCGACGACTTGCCGTACTTTCAAACCATGCTATCAAACGGGAGATGTTGCAAGACAGGGCCGCACCTCTCCTGTCCTCGTGCTGAATCCACATGGCTTGTTTGTTTTAATTATTATTGATATTATTTTACTCTTTAAACATCACTGAAGGTGCAGCCCCTGCAACTTTTTCTCACGTCTCTGCTGGCGGAAAGGCCTTTCGAGTGGGTATTTGGCTTAATCTTCCACGACAGCCAGACATTACGTTACGGTGCTGTATGTCTCCCAAACCGCACGCTCTCATGTTGCGCTCTGATCTCCTCCGACACTCGTATCTAAAATATTATTTAATAAGCTCGATATTCCCAGCATCAGCTTCACAAGGCATTTTCCTTCTCCCGTTATGGTACTGTACCGTATGCTGTCAGTGCACTGGCCACTTGTGTCAATAGTTTAGATTACGGCACTATTTGGATTACAAAGCGCCTAAACGTGACTCGCGTCAAGATGCTGGACACAAAAAAGCAGCGGGCATATTTGTTTTTTAATCATGCTGCCCTGCCTCGGACCACTTCTAAAATGCATAGAACAGTGTCCGTGGTCAGGAGGCATATATTTCCCACGGTAACATATCACCGCGTCGGCTCGCATGAACGCCAATTTCCTTCCAAGGACATTACCGCTGAACCAAGGCCAGCCCTCGTTGCTGAACTGATGGCATATGTTTACGACCAATCATCACGTCCGTCCGTCCGTCCGTCTGTGTTGGGTTCTCTTTTCCCCCACGAGGACTGAGCTCCGACACCGGAGCCGTTGTGAAGTGTAATCACGGGTGCGCGATAATTACGTGCCTCATTCTTTCCGCAACCCTAATTGGCGTGTTCGCAGTTGAGCACGTGCCTCTCATCAGGGCCTCTCATCAGGGCCTCTCTTTGCTGCGAAGGGTATATTTTGGTATTGGTTTTGACCGAGGGTGCTAGATTTCATTTAATTTCACGAAGGGTTAAACACGTTAAAGAATGTTTCAAGCGGTATTAAGTCAATAGTTATAAAACAACGAATTTGTTGTACTCACGTAGGATTGTGCTGTACTCGGGTAGGGTTGTACTGTGCTCACGTAGGATTGCGCTGTACTCGGGTAGGATTGCGCTGTACTCCCGTAGGGCTGCGCTGTACTCCCGTAGGGTTGTGCTGTGCTCATCGGCGATGTGCGTTGATGCTGTCGGGGAATAAAATAAACCACGAACACAAATGGGAAGGATTGCACGTGAGAAAGAAGAGGAGAGGTGGCGAGGAGAGGGGACGGGGCCCTCCCGCTTTGCCAGTGCTTGCACTTCAGGTCACGTGCTCTAGGAGGCGCTGGAGGTTGCACATCTCTATATATGAAAGGGAAATTTGTGAATGTGTGTCGAAATGTTTAGCATACTTCCCAACATGCTAAAAACTTTAAATTTGGCAAAGTGGGCAGCTTCCATACTGCACACAATGTAAAAAGTACAAAAATAGACTTTTGTATTTTGGGGGGGGGGGGGAAATAATAGATATAATACATTGCACGGTAAGTGAGCGGTGACGTCACATTTGTGATGTCACCCGCATGCGGCAGCGTTACGCACTGTGCCTGCTGACGTCATGCATCCCCCCCCACCCTCCGCGTAGGCCGTGTATTCCGCACAAATGCACGGCTGAGGGGGGGGGGGAAATGATATATACTAGGACTAAACTATTAATTTCCGTGCGAAGAACGGGTACACCTGCTAGTCTAGAATAAAGTTTAACCATATTATTTGGGTCTTTCGTTAAAGTTGCGTAGATCGATTCAAAGAAAATAACAAAAAACGACAACGTTTATTGGTGGAAGCCCACTACCAGTGCCGTCATGGCCCTCTACGAGTACCATCACCTCTAGCAGCAACCTCCACCGTCAACAGTGTGATTGTGTAAAGTGAGGTGCAATGATTACCTGGCAGCCCTTTAAATGGTGGAAACCCACCACCAACGCCGTCATTGCCCTCTACGAGTACCATCACTCACATTAGTTGCCCCGCCCATGCTGACGACACTTGGGTTACGCCCATTTCAAACCTTGAAAAACAGTTTGCCTTCAAAGGCTGTAACCCCCTTTTCCTGATAACGACCGCTTGTGTTGCGATTGAAACGTAGTAATTTTTTGTTAATTTTTTGTTATTTTCTTTGAACCTATCTATGTGATTTTACCGAAAGACCCAAATAATATAAATTCCTGAAGCCATGAAAGTTTTAAGTCAAGGTTTAACCAAAAAAGCAAAATAAAAAATAGTTGAGGCTTTTCGAACTTTCAGGATGAACACCCCAAATTTAGACCAGATTTAACACCCAAGACACACAACTCGATGTGTCTCTCTGTTCGGAGGGTCTGCGTGGGGCCAGGCATCGCGTGGGATCAACGCTGTCCCTGCCTGCAGGTAGACGGGGACGAGCACCATTGTGTGCTGTCTCACCATGTGTCCCCTGCATTTGTGTGTATGTGTGTATGTCAGTGTATGTGGGCAGCGGTAGAGTAGCGGTTAGCGCACTGCGCTATGAACCCGGCGACCCGGGTTCGATTCCCACTCATGATTCCCACTTACGGCCAACACCAGTGATGATTATTTGAACCGGGCTTGGGCCTCCCCTAGGTCGACTCAGCCACCCACCCCCTCGTGTACCGTTACGGCCTTCATAGGTGCTCGCTGTCAGCACCTGCCCCTACAGTCTGTTCAGGCTATACGGAGGGTCTTTGTGTGTTACAGATTGTAACAACTACAGTGGCATCACTCCTCAGTATGCCGGGAAAGGACCTGGCAAAGATTATTCAACATCGGCTTGCCAGGCACGCTGAGGAGAGGCTTGCGGAGCCCCAATGTAGTTTCAGGAAAGGGTGGTCCTGCACAGATGCCATATTTTCTGTCCATCTGCTACAGCAGAGGTGTAGGGAATTCCAACAAGACCTACATCTCTGCTTTATTGACCTGGTCAAGGCCTATGATACCATCAGTAGGCCTGGGCTCTGGGTTGTTCTTCATGCTTTCGGAGTCCCTGACCCGCTGCTCATGATTATTAAGGACCTTCATGATGGTGAGCGGGCCCGGGTAAAACTACGTGGCCGGGAGTCAGAGCCATCCCCTGTTCACTTTGGGGTGCGACAAGAATGTCCTCTGGCTCCCACATTATTTAACATCTATTTCAACCACGTAGTTCGTCAAGCCTTCAATAGCTGTACCGGAGGAATTTCCATCTGGTACAGATACAATGGGAGGCTGATCGTTCCCCGGGTGCGGTCAAGGGATGGCTCCCTATTGCTCAACCATGTTATGTATGCCGATGATCTGGTAATTGCTGCTCACTCAGAGGAGGAGTGGAGGCGCTGCTGAACCTGGAGCTTGCCATTAAAGAGGTGGGGCCTTACCATCAGCCCCACCAAAACTAAGCATCTGCCTGGGTATTTTATACCATCAGACACTCCACTCCCACAACTCCAAATTGGTGATAGGGCAGTTGTGGAGAGAGTGGAGAGTTTCCCATACCTGGGCAGTGTGCTCATGACCAGCTCCGGTTTGACAGCAGAGGTCTCACTCCGAATCAGTCAAGCAGCATTTTCTTTTCATCGGTTGCATAACGCTGTGTGGAAGCTACCTGGTCTGTTGCTCCGCACAAAGCTTCAGGTCTTCTTGGCTACAGTCATTCCCTCCCTTCTCTACGCTTGCGAAACGTGGACCCCCCTAATGGAACATCTTCACCGGTTAGAAACATTGAGGCTGGCCTGCCTACGATCTATCTTGGGTTTAACCAGGCTGGATTGTGTGAGGAGCTCACATATCCTTGAAAGATCTGGACAACGTCCCATCGGTGAGCTCCCCCAGCAGGCAAGGCTGCGTTGGCTGGGTCATGTAGCCTGCATGCCCAGCCACCTAAACAGCTTTTGTT